GCCTGAGAGAAACCTTCGTGCCGCCCCCGAACACCTCTCCCTGTTCGCGGCCCGCGTGTTTGTTTTCCATCCTCAACCCGTGCCTTCCATTCGCTAAGAATATGAATTTGAAGCTATACCACCATTGAATATTATGTTATGGCAGGAAGGGTGGAAATGGGTGGGCCCGCTGACCTGTTCGACATAGTTCACTTCACTCCAGTTCCTTCCAATTACTACGCTTTCTGCTTTTCCGCCTCCCTCCCTCCTCACGCGTCTGCCTCACTGTTCTCTTCCTCCCTCTACCCACCCCTCCCCTCTTCTCCCCTCCCCTCCCCTCCCTCCTCCCCCCTCGGCTACGGGGCCCAGCCAATAGATCGGCGACCGCACGGCCACGGGGCGCTATGGAACCGGCATGCCGACGTCGCAGGGGTGGACGCCCAACCTGGGAGGAGGACGGGGGGGTAGGGGGGAAGAAGGGAGTAGGTAGAAGAGAAAGGGGAGGGAGGGAGAAAGGTGGAGGGAAAACGGGGGAGGAAAACGGAAGGAACGGAAGGAACAGGGAGGGAGGATGGTGGAGAAGAGGGGAGGAGGGGGATGTGGGGAGGGAGGGATGGGGAGAGGGATGAAAAGTAGGAGGAGAGACGGGGATCGCTTCTCGTGAAAGTGGAGCTTGCGCGACTGCATGCCTGCCTGGGGGGAGGGAGGGAGAGGGAGGCAGGGGAGGGAGGCAGGGGGAGGGAGGCAGGGGAAGGAGGGAGGCAGGGAGGAGGAAGGAGCAAGCAGAAAGAAGAAGAGAAAAGGCACGCGTGGCTCCGCGTGAGGGCCCGCGCCCCCCTAGGCGCGAAGAGGGCAGGGCCCGCGGGGGAGCCTCCGGGGGCCGCCGTGGCCAAGCTGCGGGAACCGGCAGCAGCAGGAGTCCCTCCTCCGCCTTGCGCTTCTCTCCTCTTCGCCCCTTCGGCGGCGAGCCTGGGGGCGGGGGGAAGGAGAATGGGCGGTCCCCAGAAGACTCGCAAAGCCTCGGGCCTCATATAAAGTTGGCCGAGCCCCCTTCCCGGGAAGACACCAAGAGCCTCGCAGAAAGCCGGGGTGGGTATCTGAGAAACCCCGTCGCCTTCTGAGCAGGCTTTTTCCCGTTCATCACTTCCCCCATGGTTGCGCCGCCGACCCTTCTCTCCCGTCCACCTCGTCCTCCCCATCGACCCACGCAGAACAAGAGGCAGCATACTTAAGCATAAGCTGTTGGAGGTCCGCGTGGGATTCTTGGACCACCCCTGACGCCGCATCCGGCGCCGCACCTTGCGCGCTGGCGCGCAGTGCGCGCCAGGCAGGTGGGGTCTAGGCAGGTGAGGTCCAGGCAGGGGGGCTCAGCGCGGTTCTCCGAAAATAATACTTGTCCTAGCTGCGCGACGTACCTCCCGTGTGGGACGCGCTTAACTCACTCACCGTCCCCTGCACCACTTCGGTGCCCCTCCGCCGCATCACGCTGGACTGCCCTGTGGGCCGCCCTGTTCTGCTCTCCAGCTCCCACACCCGTCGGTGCTCCCCTCCTTCCGAAGCGGCCACGCGGTGCCTCCACCCCTTGCGGTGCTGCTCCGCCCCGCTTCTGCGGGCGCCCGGGGCGCCTCCCCTCTCTGCCCTGCCGCCCCTCTGGCGGCCCTGGGCTGCCACATTCCGCTCTATGCTGGGCGTTCCCCCCCCCTGCGTCGCCCGCCGCGTCCCGCGGGCGCCTGGGACGTTTCGCCCGCTGCCTCCCGCCCCACCTCTCCCCGCCCGCCGGCCACCTGGCCTCGGGCGGCCACGCCGCAGTACTGCCCGCCATCCGCTGCTCCCGCCCCCGCTCGGCTCAGTGCTGTGCCTTCTCCCCGGGGCGCCGCGGTACGACTTTCGCGGTGCTCCGCTGTGCTCCCCGCCAGCCCCAGGCGCTGGCTGCCACTCCCCGCCGCCCGTGCCACCGTGGCTCGCCACGGCCGCCCACCGAGCTCTGGCCATGTGCACCTGGCTGCTGCTGCCCGTCAGGCTGCTCATCGTCGAATTCATCGGCGTCTGAGCGTTCCGTCTTCCTCTCGGCCGCCCCCCTTCCCTCTTTGCTCGCCGGCCAATTCGCCAGTTCGTGTCCCTACCTAGCTTCTCGCTGGAGCGGATTTCGCCGCCTCGCCGCTGACGAAACACAAATCATCAGATCGCTCCTCTTCGAACGGCGCCGTCTTGCGAGGGGAGGCATGCAAACACCAAGCAAGCGAGACGCTAGACAAGAGAGCGATCCTCGGTGCGCGCAGCCCGCCGATCGCTGCACGCGATGCGACGGCATCGGCCTGCGTGCTCGGGTCTGCTAGCCCCCCCCCCCGGCGCCCCGCGAGGACCCTGCCCCAGCAGGGCACTCTGGCGAAAGGCCACTCTTACTCGGGAGCGGCCAAAGAGGGGGGGGTCCAAGAGGGGGGGGTGCAAATCATGACCGGCGGCACGTGCGCGGCCCAGCGGGGGGGCCAGGGACGTAATGAAACAAGAAGGGGCGCCGTGAAATCTGGGAAGATATCATGCCCCACGCGGTGATATCCACCCCCCCTGGTCATCACCCCTCTCTTTTCCGCCCCCGACTTACGCGGAGCCAGGACAGGGAGACGGAGAGTTGGCTGAGATTTGTACAGTCTAAGACCACCTCGCCTCGCGCCTCGCGCCCCGCGAGGAACCGCGCGCGGCTCATGTCGCGCCCTCGCGCCGCCCCCGCGGGAACGGCACGGCCTTCGGTCCAGGGCGAGACGCGCGAAGCGCGCTCATCTTCGCGCCCCTGCAGGAGACCTGGCCAGCAGCTGCCAGGATGACTCCCAAAAGTTGCCGATTCGGAGCTCTCCCAGGCCATGTTCATCTGAAGGGGCCCTGGAACACGCACAAATAAATAGACGTACATAACAGCATTCCCCAGATGTTTTCCCATCTTTTCTGTGTGTTTGTCTTCCCGCCCACTTCTCATATTTTCCTACATTTTCTTGGGAATCGACGAATAATCGTGTCTGTGTTTTTTTCCCTCCTGATCATCACCTCCCGGGCTCGCCGAGGGCTCTCCCGAGGCCCGAAGGGGCCGTTCAACCTGCACCGGAGCCTCGCGGGGCTCTCGCGGGACTGCCCAGGGCGTCCCAGCAGCCCCCAAGGGCTTTCGCTCAAGCAGCAGCTGCAGACAAGCGCCAGAGATGCGATCTGTCAGAGCCTGCATTGCTACGCCGGATCGTGAGATGGGAAGGGCTACATCAAGCAGCAGTAGTCCTGAGGCGCTCACTTGTAAGCTGGACGCACGCAGTGCTTCGTGAGCTCACCCAAGGGGGACGCACACTCACCGAGGCCTCTCTCCCCGAAGCGCTACTGGGGCGCCCTCCGTCTGCCTCAGACGGCGCACCCATAACCAAGACACTGTGCGTGTCCTTGACCCTGTGACGCGCGGTGGGACTGCGTAGGGCTGCGCATTCGCGCCGCCAGCGCGTGGAAGAGATGGAGGGGAAGGAGGAGGAGGAGGAGGGGAAGGAGGAGGAGGAGGAGGAGGAGGAGGAGGAGAGGAGGGGAGAGAGAAGGGAGAGGAGGAGGAGGAGGAGAGGAGGGAGGAGGAGAGGAGGGGGAAGGAGGAATTGGAGGAGCAGGAGGAGAAGGAGGAGGAGGGGAAGGAGGAGCAGGAGGAGGAGGGAGAGGAGGAGGAGGGGAAGGAGGAGGAGGAGGAGGAGGGAGAGGAGGAGGAGGAGGGGAAGGAGGAGGAGCGCTGGAGCCTCCAAGAGCCTCACAAAAATCCAAGGGTCTCTGGCGCACCTGCACTGCGTGACGCTGCTTCTGTGCGCCGCCAGCGCGCGGCGCCCATCCGCTCGTGGCGACCGAGGTCTCGTTGCCCCCGTCGCATCCGGGAGCCTCCTGCGGTCATCGTGCCGCCATGAGGAACGCCAAATACAGTTAAGCCGTATAGTAAGGATGCGCGGTAGGGGTGCAAGGGCCTTGGAAAGCCACGTCGACGTTTCTGTCGGGTGTGGCTGGCCAGCGAAGGTTGCCAGGGACGGGCCGAAGGGGAAGGATGTAAGGGTAGCCGTGGAAAGACGCTCATCCTTGCTGTGCGGGTTGACCGCATGGAACGAGGGGGGCTCTGCTGGCCAATTGCTCGTCCTTACCATGCGGGTCAACTGTACGGCTTGCCACGAGCCCGCCAGAAGCCCTCTGGGCACCCTTGGCGCATGTGGCACGGCGCGGCGCCGCCCACCTGCACAGACCACTCGTGGCGACGAGAATCCCTCCCCCCTGGCCTCGCTGCAGCCCCCAGAGGGGAGCCCGGACCCCTGGCCCCCGAGGGTGGAGGGAGGGAGGGGAGGAGGGGGAGGGGGCAGAAGGGAGGTGGACGTTGACACTCCATGGCCTGCTGTGCATCCCAGGAGGAGGGGCAGAAGACCGTCCCCTGCTGTGGGGTCCCTGGAGATGGCCCGCATTGATTCAGTATGGTATGCCTTCAGGAGTGCCTCTTGCGCACTCGAGGCGCACTTCTGAAGGCATCCCATGTTTCCACAGGCCCCTGGAAGCGTCAGGCCTGGGCGTGGCTCCAAATCCTGGCCAGAGCGCGCACCAGGGGGGAACCGACGCACGACCTCCGAGAGGGAGCACCCCGACCCCGAGGGCCGCCTCGAAGAGAGGACGACGACAGCAGCTCACTCTGGCGACGCGCACAAGGGGGGGGGGGGCCCTACCCCCCCCCCTTGTGCGCGCGCGGAAGTAACATTTACCCGTTATCTGGGTCGACCTCTGACCTGCGGTCCGCTCGCCTGGCTTGGCCCTCTGCGCGCCCTGCCAGGGCGCCCCTCCCCCTTCGCATACGCCGGAAGCAAGGAGACACGTGCCCAGTCCGAGCCCCGGCGAGACGGGCTCCCTTTGGCGGCGCGCACCATGGTGTAGGGGGAGGGGGGAGGCTTCTTTGAAGGAGGCTGCTTCTCAGAAGGCGCGGACCTTGCACCTACAGATCAGGCCCGGGCGTTCGGAGAAGCCTGCCCCCCTCTCCCTGCCCCCTTGCCCTCCTCCCCCTACCCCCCTCTGCCTAACCCCCCTCCCCCCAGTATTACCCCCTCTCCTCCCCTCCTATCGGGAGCGGCCAAGAGGGGGGGGTGCAAATCATGACCGGCGGCATGTGCGCGGCCCAGCGGGGGGGTCAGGGACGTACTGAAATAAGAAGAGGCGCCATGAAATCTGGGGAAAAATCATGGCCCCCGCCATGATATCCACCCCCCCCTAGTCATCACCCCCCTCTCTTCCGCCCCCGATCCTACCCCCCTCTGCGCGTGGCCGGTCCTTCCAGTGTCTCTGCTGGCTGCCTCTGGGGGCCCTTCTCGGACCACCGGGGCGTTGCCCTGACGGGGCCCCGCGGCGGCAGACAGAGCGCGGAGCGGCCCCCCCATGGATGGGCCCGGGAACTCTGGGAGCCCCGCGCCCTGGACCTCTGGAGGTCTCCGGGGGGGGGGGAGGAGGAGGAGGAGGAGGAGGAGGAGGAGGAGGAGGAGGAGGAGGGAGGAGGAGGAGGGAGGAGGAGGAGGAGGAGGAGGAGGAGGAGGAGGAGGAGGAGGAGGAGGAGGAGGAGGAGGGGGACCCCTCACTGAGGCCTCCCTCTTGCCTCCCGGCTCCGGCCCCCCCCCGCCTTCCCACGGCGGCTCCGCCCGTCCCTCCCACGAGCAGGCCCCTGCCCGAGGGCCTCCGCGTGCACCTCCTGGCCTGCCGCGGGGGCCCGCCGCGCGAGAGCACCCCCCCGCACGCCCCGGGCCACCGCGGCGGCAGCACGCGAGGGAGGAGGGGGCGGCCACCCAGGGCCAAGCTCGCGGCCCGCGCCGCGCCAGGCCCACCCCCCGACCCTGGAGGAGGAGAGCTCTCCGGTCCAGGCCGCGAGGCGCGGCCAGCACTCGCCCCTTCCCCTCGGCAGCTGCCGCACGCAAGCGTGCTCTGGCCCCCCCCCGACGCAGCCTCTCCAGCTGCCGCACGTAAGGAAGGACTTCAGGATCCCGGATGCGCCGCCAGCGAGCGCGGACCCACTTCAGCAAGTTCGCGGCCAGGCCCTGCGTGGTCGAAGACGTGACGCTGTAAATGGAACCATCTCGTTGCGGAGAGCCGTCCATGATCTTCGTGAACCGATCCGACGCCTCGGCATCCGTGAAGTCTGCCGGCCTCTTGTGGGGCCACCAGGCTGCGAGGTTCGGATTTTGACAACAAGCACCGGTCCTGAGCTCCTCGGCCCCAGTCACGGTTCCAACGGAATTCCCAATTTCCAGCCTCCGATGCTACGGCCGGGCTTCAGACAGAAGAATGTCCTCGAACAACATGAGAACCTCCGCTGGCCAAGCTGAAGAACAGTCGAGGGTACTCTCCCCCAGGATGCACAAGAACATCCAACAAGCACGAAGAACATTAGGGTTCCCTCCCCGAACCGACGTCGATCTGATACCTCGGCCCAACCGTATATAGTCCTACCACGAAATGTTCTCAGAACCCCAACACTGTTCCGACAACAAAAACAATGTTCTTAGAACGTTAACCCGGTGTGTTAAACCAAGACAGTATCATCCACAAATGTTCTAACATTTCGTGGAAACCACAATCGGTTCTTAGAGCATTGCTTGGTGGAGCTATAGGCGAGCCAAGACGCTTCGCCACTGCTTGATCTATCGTTCTGACACGTCCTATTATGATTGAGAGAAGGCCGGCGGCAGATGGCGAAGCCGTTACGGATTGATGAACGCATACCCCATGCATTGATGCGTTGAGAAGCACCGAGGTAGATAAAGGAAAGCCGCTGGTCCACTTGGAGAGGGCAACAAGGCGTGGGCGGGGAGGAAACGGAGGAGGCGAAGGTGGAGGAGGACAGGGAAGCACTTCGGCGGGGGGACTGCCGGCGTCCTCACCCAAATGGCGAACACATTGAATCGTGAAGGACAACGCCCCACCGAAACTCTACGAGCCCGCTCAAGGGCCGCATTATGACGGCATTGACGTCTGGACCGCTGATGGCATCAACGAGGGTGGTGACGTTGATGCTGCAAGTAATGGCGCGCGTCTTGAGGGTCATCAACACACCGGTGTCGTCAGCGATGCTGCATGTAGTGTGTGACTTTTGTGGATGGGCTTGTTGTTACTGATGGCAAACACGGCGCTGGCGGCGAAAGTTCCCGTAGTGGTTGTAAAGACGGTGCGTGCGCCGATGCGCGTGAGGATACCGGCGAACGCACTGCTACCCTCTGCAGCTGCGGAGCTTAACTCCCTCAGGCGTGGACTCCCCCGCCTGCCCCGGGCAACGGACAGTCGGAAAACGCTGCTCCCCCCGAGTTCAACAGCGCGCCGCGCCCTCGTCGGCCTCAAAATGATGAGAACTACCACGATTGCTAAGAGGTGGCCATGGAAGCTGCCACGGGACCGGTCGGCAAGCGTGCACGTGGACACTGCTGCTTGACGGAATGGATACCTGGTGGCCTGAGAGAGACAGAGAAGCGTGAGACACCTTCTAGAACCAGAAACGTCAAAGACAATATAAATCTTGATTGCCGCTCCCATCCCCGAGTCCCGAGCGGGGGCTCCCAGGAGCCACCTTGGGGATCGACTGGGCCACTTGTGGGTTCCAAAACCGGGATAGCGACGCAATCCAAAACTCGTGGAACGCCCGTAGGAGACGCTCGCAGGGACGCTGGCAAGCCTGCCTGCGTGCCTGCGAACTCGGGAAAGGAGCTTCGCAGAAGCGTTCAAGGAGCTTCGAAGGACCTGCGGGTAGGCTTCGGGCACGCGTATTAGGAGAGGGCTGAATCTAAACGGTGTTTTTCGTTTTCGTTGTGTTTTCGTTTTCCCTCGTTTTGTCTTCAATCTGCCTTTACCGCAAAACGAAGTCGAACCGAAAAAGGCCCACGAAAACGCCGAAACACCGTTTAGGTCCAGCCCTGTATTAGGACTCGACTGGGCCACCTTCGGCTCTCGAAGCGCATTTAAGAGCCTCTCGGGGGCCTCTCGTGGCATCTTCGCCTGCCGCTCCGGTGCCGGCGCGCACGCGGTGGCGGCGCCAGGGGGGGGGGGGCGGCCGTCCAGAAAAAAAACGGGGGGCCTCTCAGGAGGCAGAGCTCCCCCGTGCTTTTGGGAGCACCTCTCGGGGGCATCTGGGCCGTTCTGAGGATCGGTGGTCCAACCCCTGGGCCCTGGGGGATGAGGGCTCAGGGGCCCGACGATGCTGTCCGAGGGTGGATTTGCGTTGTCCGAGGCACCTCGCCCTGAGGACCCCATCCCTCAGGGACCCGGCTTTGAACCACCGAGATCGGTTACACTGAAGGGGCCCTGGGACACGCAAATCAATAGACACAAATAACAGGATTCCCCCCAAATCTTATCATATCTTCTGGGCTTTTGTCTTCCCCCCCGCGTCCCATCTTTTCCCCTATTTCCTGGGGGATCGGCGATTCATTGAGTTTGTGTGCTTTCTTCCCTCCTGATACGCGCTGCTCAGCGGCGTCCTCTGCCGGCTGCTGCAGCTGGCAGCGGCGGCCCGCCGCGCCCGCGCCCCGCCGCGCCCCGCGCCCGCCACGGCCCCCCGCCGCGCAGACGGCCGCCGCGGCCCCTCGCTCCCCGGGCACCCCGCCGGAAGGAGGCCCCACCTCCTCGGCCCGCCCCCCTCGCTCCTCGGTCGGCCCCCCCTCGCTGCTCGAGCCCTGCCGAGGCACCCGCAGAGCTCCCCGCCTCCTGTGGCAGCCCCCCTCTTCGAGGAAGCCGCCCCCCCCCCCCCTCGCGCCGCCCCCCCCCCCTGGTGCGCGCCGCCCGGTCTGGGGATGATCCTATAGGGCGCCCTCTAGGGGCGAGCCCGGGGGGGAAGTGGGAGGGGGCAGGCCTTCGCAGGAGGCTCGGGGGTTCCCCGGCCTTCTGAAGACTCCTGGGGCCTCCTCGGAGGCACAGTCAGCTCCTCAGAAGGCCAAGAGGGCTCGTGAGAAGCCCCGCCGCCTTCTGAGAAGGCCTCCTCCTTCCCGCTTCCCCTCCGCTCGCTCGCCGCCGAGCAAACGCAATGGGGAGTCTTGAAGAAGTGTGTCGCCCCTGGGCCAACGGACCTGCTCGCCGGTTATACGATGTATCCAATGAGTCACCTAAATAGACCTCCCAGAAAACTTTGCGGTGGAAAATCGACGGCAAGTTGGAGGCGCCAGCGCCGAGCCGACAATGGGGCCGCTCCATCCCCGTAATGGCTTGCGCCGCTGGGGCGCGAGCTAGGCGGGAAGCCGCTGAGCGCGGCTGCGCAGCGCCGGTAGCGAGGCAAGCGCGCGGGGGGGACGGCGTTGGCTAGAAACCACGGCCCTCCAGAACGTCGGGGCATCGAGCGCAGCATGGTACGACGTTGTATCCGCTGCTGGAATGCCACTATCCAGTTCAAATCCTTCCAGGACCTGGGAAGACGGCTGTCATATTTCATATAATGATGCGGATCCATGGACCGTTGCGGTGGCGGTGAAAGTTCGGCTCTTCGCGTGGAGCACGCCCTTACATTGCGCTTTGGGCTTTCGTATCCCAAGGTTCCTCAATATTGATTGGCGGCAAACTCCAGTGCAGCAGGACGCCCTTCTATCGCACGCTCCTGAGAGCACGCGGCGCAACAAAGCCAAGCGCACCGTGACAACACGAGGTTGGCACATGGCCGCGGACGGGAAGCTCAGATCATAGCCGCGGGCCCATGCCGAACAGCCGGATGCTTTACGAAGCGAGCCCAGAAACCGTCCCAGGGTGTCCACACAGGAGGTCCCGCTGGTATGCCCACCGAGGTCTGGACACTTCACCGCCGCCGCCGCCGCCCCGTGCGCGAGCCGTGGGCCCCCCCATCGCTTCCCCAGCGAATCCTCGGGCGCTCGGCGCACGCGCGCCCCCGGCTCCACGGGGCGCCGGCTCTGCCGCGCAGAGCCGCACGGCAGAGCGCCCAGCGGGACACGCCCGGGACTCTGGGTCGGCCGGGGCGCCCGCGCCCGCGCAGCAGGTGGCACTCTCGGCAGGGGAAAGGCCGCCTGGCCGCGCGAAGCCCGACGGAGCAGCACGGGGCCCGACAGAGACCCAGAAGGAGAGGAGGGCGTGGAGGGGGGGGGGGGCAGTAGGTGACGTGCAGAGAAGGCAAGGCGGAGGGCGCCAGGGAGGGGCGGAAGAGCCGGCGGAGCCCGACGACGCCCGGAGGAGCCCCCCACAGGGCGCTGCGGGGCACAGCCAGGTGCGGCACCGCGGCACGTGCCCAGAGGCCCGACGGGGCCGGGCACCTCCTCCCAGGATAGATGGGACAACAGTGCCCCGACGGCGAGCGCTGCTCTGTCCGACAGATCTTGGCCCTGCCGCGCACGCGGCGCTACATCCCGACTGGGCCGACTGGTCGAAAGTACGTCTCCTCGCTGATGCCCAAACACATCCGACGGAAAGACATGAGGCTTGGCCAGCACTGAGGTCACGAGGCGACGGCAGGGGGCATAGTCTCACGGGCTCTGCTGTCCTCGTGAACTGAGACCCTCCTCCGAAACTCGGCATCGAGCCGTTTCACCCCCCAGGTGGCGAATGCTCCAAGGGTTCATCAAAAGCAGACGGGGGATGGATCGGATCAAGGCTGAACTCGGTCGGGCGGACTGGTGGCGCCACCTATGGCGTAACCTGGACAGAGCGGAACAAGACTTGATCCGGTCGGGCGGGCTGCGGCGCAACCTACGGCGCAACCCATGAGACAATCTGCCGAGCAACATGTCAGGCAACCTTTGGTACAACCTACGCTGCCGAGTGCCGTGCCGCGCGCAGTGACGTGAGTCCAAAAAATGTTTCCTTCCCCACGTGCCGGTCAATGAACGTGTTGTGGGTCCAACTCGCTGCGCCGTGCTGAGCCGTGCCGTGTACTATAGTACTGTGTCGTCCCTTGCCCTTGCACATGCTCCTCTTCCTCCTTCTCCTTCACCTCCTCCTTTTCTTCCTCCTCCTCCTCATCTTCTTCCTCCTCCTGTTCCGCTTTCTCATTCGGCACGGCGCCAGCCTTGGGTATCATACCTCTCGTCGAACCCTGTCGAGTCAAGCCAATCTCTGAAGCTGGCCCTCGCGCAGTCCTTTGGTATGCCGTGAAGGACTAGGGTCACTTCGGTCGGGCTGGCCACACTGGATGCCCATTGCTGGACACGGGTCGCGCTGCCCTTTCCGCTCATGTCTGCGTCACTCTCAGCGACGCGGCGTGGAGAGGAATGCTAGCATACAAAAATCAAGTCGAGAATCTCGAGCAAGAAATGACTCAATGGTGATGGCGAGTCACACCAGCCTCTCTCTCTCTCTCTCTCTCTCTCTCTCCCCGTCACTCTCGCCCTGCACTCTACCTGAATGGAAGACATAGACCTACTCGGCTACTGCGGGTACCTACCGGCTGTGCAGCCGATGCCGCAAGACTAAAGAACTCATGCTGTGCGTCTGCATCGTCGGCAACGGCTTGCTCGGGTGGATCAGCTCCTCTGAGGCTCCCATGCTGTGAAGCTTGCGGCCCGTGCCAAACCTCTGCCTCCTCACTCAACCTTCCCCGCTCGCTGCCTTGCTGCCCCGCTCGGCCGCCGAGCTGGCCCTGGCTGGCCTTCTGAGCCTTTTGGCATGTTGTATCGTCCACCTGCCGGCAGGGCCCGTAGTTTGCTGGAGTTCGGGTCCGCTGATGTCAGGAAAAATATACCAGAGCGCAGTAGAAGAATAGCAATACTAACCATCATGTTGCCAGAGAGCTCAGTGATGCAGTATGCAACATGCAATCATCATAATCATGGTGCAACCCCTGATGTGGCAGTTTGTCCGTGCGTCGGGGGCCCAATTACGCCCGATAATGTGTTGCCAACACCTCGTTAGACGCACTTTGTTATCCTCAATTTCGGTCAATAGGGCCTCCGTTGGGCCGTCTTGGTACCATCTTGGGAAGCATGCATGAACCCAGGAAATATCGAGCGGGAACGTTGATTTGGAGGAGACCAACCTGCGGGGCCGAGGCGAGAGCGCCATTCTTCATGAAAGAGCAGAGGAGTATAAAGACGGAGGGCTGGTTTTGTTGGTGGACCTGCTTTCGGCGGCGAGCAAGACCAGTCTTCTAGTCAAATATCAAGGTATCGAATGGGAGCGTCGTTGCTGCAGGGCCGGTTTGCGGAACGCCACCGCTGAGTAGAAAACGAGGACGTATCGAGCGGGAGCGCTGGTCTTGTTGGAGGGCCAGTTTCGTCGGCGAGCAAGAGCACCAATCCTGAGTGAAGAGCGAGGAACTACTGTCGGAAGGGAGCGTTGATCTTGTTTGGGGGGGGGGCGGTTCCGGCGGCAACGACACAGCGCGAGCCTGAGCCTCGCTTTCAAAGGGAATGCAGCCGGCGCCGAGGCGAGAGCGCCGGAGCGGATTGAGGATCGCCCGCCCCGGCGCGCGGAGGGCGCCAGGAGCGGCTGCGGAGGGGCGGCGCCGGAAGCGCCACCCGGGGGGTCCAGCGCCGATCCGAGAAGCCCGTGCGGGCCTCCGAGGGTCCATGCGCTTCTCCCTCCGAGTGCAGGCCGCAGGCTGCCCGGGAGGCTCGCGGCTCGGCACGGGGCGGGCACCCCGGGCGAAGCCCCGCTGCACCCGCCCGGCGCACGAGGCGCGCACGGGGCGCCCACGGGGCGGGCACCGGGCGAGGCCTCGCCACGCCCACGAGCACGCACGGCCCTGGCGCGGCGAGGCTGTACTGAGGGCTGCTCCCTCGGGCTTCCTGGGGCGCGGCGGCGATTGGCGTCGGGCCTGCGAGGCGCGCGCCGCCAGGAGGCGGCGGACGCGAGGCGTGCGCCGCCGTGGTGCGCTGGCGGTGCAGCGCCCGCCGCGCGCAGCGGCGGTGCGGCCGCTGTGCGCATACAGCAACGACGAAGCGATGCCGGCGCCGACGCCGCTGCTTCCCGAGACCCGCCCCGGGGCGCGTCCTGGCGAGGGACCCGAAGCGGATCCAGCCGCGGCGGCGCGCCTCGCCTTCACGGGCGCACGACTGCCGTACACCCAGATATAGCAGCTATCAAATTGGTCAAACATCCTGGTTTCGGAGGTTGCCAGAGGCGGCGCTGGCCCCAAATGCCCCCAAGCCTTTCGCGCGATGCTGTATCAATGGGCCTCCCGTGAACCTCTCAGCCTCGTGATGGCCTCTGGCAGCCCCCGTTTGCTGAGCCCACGGTAGGACAATACAAACACCCCGTCTGCTGAGCCCACCATAGAAGACTAGAAGCAGAAATCTGTCGGACGTCTACGCGCACCTCCGAAACGTCGTGTATGCCACTTTGACTGCTTCGGCACCAAGCCAAGTCCCCCACCTCGGTGGCCCCTCCCCCGTGCAAGACGGAGCTTGCCGTCGCTCGGACGTCCAGTCCCTGTGCGTTGTTCGGTGTTGTGCGTGTTCTTCTTGCTCGGTGATCCAGGAATGCTCCTCGATGGTTCTCGCCGAAAAGAAAGGCACACGTCCGAGCGATGCCAATGGAGGGCGGGCGAGTGGACGGGAGGTCCGGTCGCGCGCCCCCCTGCCCGACCTGAGCCCCTGACGCCAGGCCGTCGCCCAGTGTGCGGACCCTGGCCCTTCCCGACTGGCGCAGCGCGCCCTGGCCCCAAGGGCCCGGACCCTGGGCCCCTTGACGCAGGACGCCTGCCCAGAGCCGTGCCGCTCGGGCCGGGCGCGCTCTCCAATTTCTCCGATCGCCGAGAGGCGGCGCACGGGCGATCCGCTGGGCCCGACTATGTACGCACTGGAGGCTGGACACCAGGGGTGGAACGCCGACAGGTCGGCGAAGAAAAAAGTCATCACGATCGACAGTGGCGGGGAGCCCAGAGCGGGACCCACGGCGCCGAGAAGATCGAGCAGGGCGCCACCCTGGAGTTGGGCCAAGAGCGGCGGGGGCTGCGGCAAGCAGGGGGACCGGAGGGGCAGGCCACAGACATGGTGCGCCTCGCCTCCCCCTCCTCATCGTCCTCCTGCTCCTCCTCCTCCTCCTCCTCCTCCTGCTCCTTCTCCTCCTCCTCCATTCCTGTTCCTTATGAATAACTCCTCCCTGTCGCACCCCGAGGCCAATCCAAAGGGCGGGCCTGGCGTTTCGCATGAGACTTCCTTACCGCTTATGACCCTGATGGAGGGCGGGTGGTTTTCAAAATGTAGCTCTCGCCTCAGCGCCGCACACATTCGTTTCAGGCATTTGCAAGAGCTTCACGGAACGAGGACGGGTGGCTTTCAAAATGTGGCTCTCGCCTGAGCGCCGCGCACATTCGTTGTAAAAGAGTGCAAGGAGCTTCACGGCTTGAGGGCGGGTGGTTTTCAAATGTGGCTCTCGCCTCAGCGCTGCGCACATTCGATTTGACAGTGCGAACAGAATTTCTAGGACTGAGGGCGGTCCGTCTTCAAAATATGGCTTTCGTCTGAGCGCCGCGGAGATATTCGTTTTAAACGCTTGCAAGAGCTTCACGGATTTAGGGCGGGTAGCTTTCAAACTTATGGCTCTCGTCTTAGCGCCGCGCACAGTCTGTTCAAACATTTGCAAGAGCTTCCCTGGTTGTCATGGCTGACGTACCAGAGAAGCTTTTAGGGAACGACTCAGGGCGCAACAGTTACGTTGACTCGCGGTGTTGAAGTCCTAGGAGCGGGGTTCTGGTAAGATTCAGGATCGTCACGACGCAACAGTCATGTTGACTCGTGGTGTTCAAGTCATGCGAATCGTGCTTTGACGCGCTTCAGGCTCCTCAACAGGAGCGACATGCGTTTGTCATGGCCATCGCGCCTTGCAGTTGTACGACTTCTGACCTGACATGTTTGTTTGCCGGTGCGCGTCTGGGGCGCCAAGCTTGACTGACTGACTGACTGACTGACAGACAGGATCCTCAAACGGTTGTCTGCCAACGGAAGACTTCCCTGTGGAGACGAATTCTATGGGGCCTAGGAACAGGGAGCTTTGAGGGAGGGTTTATTCCAACATCGTTGACGAGTCTTGGGTTTGCTCTGGTCCTCTTCCTGCTCCTCCTGCTCCTCCTCCTCCTCC